GCCTCCAACAGCTTGTATCTCTCTGCCATCTTATATTTATATTTTAGACCACAATTTATACCCTCAACAATACCCGAACATCACCGTATATTTACTAATATATACACTGCGTTTATACTTAACAAGGACGTGGCCCGTGCGATGCACGGGAAATCAAAATTACAATTGTGTTATAAATTAAATATATAAATAAACCCCCTTCAAAGCTGCTTTTATCTCTGCCCTTATCTCTCTCTTTTTTCCGGGAACCCGAACTAACCTCAGCCGGAAAGGTTTTTTGTAAAGCTCGCATGGGTGATTGATCAAAACCAGAGAAAAGAGAAGATAATCAATAAATTAATCAAGATTTACCCATCATTTTTAAATTAAACCGTGTTGGACATAGTCCGACCGGATGGACCGAGAACCAGTTTATAATCAGTTTGGTTCACTTGAATAAAATATTTGCTATTGAACAGTGTTCTAAAAGTCGCTAGGCGCTCGACCAGCGTCTAGCGCCTAGGCGGCGCCTAGTCGGGGCCTAGAAATCAATATTAAGTACCTTATTTTTTATTTATTTTAACTACCTACAAAATAAAATTATCTCAACTTATAATAAATCGACATACCTAAGTCCAAATAATCAAATTAATATAATTTAAAAAAAGCATGGGAACAAAATAATGTAAATAATATTTAAAAAAATTAAAAAAAAAATTGAAAAATTGTCGCCGAGCCCGCCTAGGTCCGCCTATGCCCGCCTAGGCGCCGCCGAGCCCGCCAAGGCCGCCTAGGAGCGCCTAAGGCCGCCTAGGCCCGCCTAGCCGCCTGACTGATTTTTTCTGCCGATTTGTGCAAATCGAAGGCGCCCGGACACCGCTTAGCGCCTAGGCGGCCGCCTAGGCCGATTTTTAGAACAGTGCTATTGAATCTGTCAACACCAGTCGGTTGAACTAGTATGATCGATACGATTTTCTAAATAAGTTTTCTATATTTAAAATTATTTTACATAAAATTACATATTTAAATAAAATAGAAATTTATAAATTGTTTATAAGTTAATTTAAACATTTGAATTTTTAAATTGTTTAGATTTAAGTAACACATTTTATTCATATTTATTACAAAAGTATTGTATATATATACATATGTTAAAGCGTATATTTAAAGAAAAAAAATTATATTGTATGATTTTTATAAATTAAATTGTATGATTATATTAAAGCGTATTTATAAATTATATTGTATGATTTTTTTTAAAAAAATAAGAAAATTAATAAAACTACTATTTATGGGTTGCATTAAATACTTACCTATTTTTTTGTTACTAATTTTAGTAAATATGATGGCTCTTTATATAAGTATTGATTAACGAATTAGTACGACACCCGCGCGCGTTGCGCAATATGATGTTAAATATATTGATGAATTATAATTTAAACAAATGAGAATTTATTAACAATAATGTCACTTATTAGACATTTGAATAATTATATATATATATATATATAACATTAGTTGTAGGCGAATTGAGTTTATTATGATCACTATTGCCATTGAAAATATTAATCTTTCGTAATGTTTTTTCAGCAACAATGTCACATATAACAAAGGTAGTTGACTTTTATCAACTCACATTGCCTAAGACAACATAATAAAAATTATCATCATTGGAATTTAAATAGTAGTCGTGAATTGAAAAACATCAAGGATAATTGTAGAACAAAAAAAACTATGCTGCAAGAATTTAACCTTTTATACTTTGAAATTGTGTTTTTAATTTTTTGTTGAATTAAGAGAAAATTCTTCATAATAGATGGGAGGTGAAAAATATAAGAATTATATATAAAATAAAGTCTAAAAAATGTTAAAATATAAATTTCTCCGTACATCGCACGAGGTTATATTCTAGTCAGAACCATATGACACTAAGTTATTAGTTAACTTCAAATACAGGTTCTCCTAAGCCTATATTAACTACATATGACTTATATACTCTTTTTCGTATTTTGTATTGAAAACCTATGCCAAAAGCCAAATACTTCCTTTGTTGACTTTACATGTCGACCATATCATAACCATACCACTATATATTTCTTGGGTTTCTTGCACGTGAAATTAATAACGGATAAAATATACTATTTTGTTTTTCCCTAGCATTTAAAAATTAAAAAATTTGTCAAATTCCCTTGTAAGCACGATTCTCTATCTCCATCCAACTTGACGATGCGTGCAGTATGCATGCCCGTATTGCGAAAATTATTCATTTTTTTCTTATATTTTTGTTTTAAAATTGAAATTTATTATATTTCTCTTTGCTTTTCTACCCATTGTTGGACAAATATTAATACATGTGGTCGCTCCCAAGGTTCAAACTCGAGCCAAAACCTTAATAGGCAAGACTTCAAACTACTCTATTACAATCATTGGAGAGTATATGTTTAATACACATTTATTTAGAACAATAAGAACAGAGCAAAACTTTATCAAACAAAAAAAGAAAATTCAAAATAATAAAAAAAATTATGTAAGTATAAGAAAATATAATTAAAATAAAAAAATAAAATAAAAATAAATTGATTAAAATTAAAGGAGTAATTTGAAATAATAAATAATATTATTATTTGATATAACAATGAAAGAATACATTTTTTAAATAAATTAAAAATATACATATAAAATAAATTGTAATATCAAACTAAAATATGTTTTAATAAATGTAAGTAATAATATATATATATATAAAAAAATTAAAATAAATAAAACAAAATTTATTTAAATATTATTTTAATTATGTATGTATGAAATGAATGTCAAATGCCAAACCAGGCCAACTGATAACTTTGCTATCTATCTAGTCAGGCATACCAAAATTGAAATTCAAATACACATCATAGAACCAACGCTAATAAAACGGCTTAACACTTAACAGAGTTGGAGGGTGTAAAATCGGGTCCAGCTTAACAGAGAAAACAAATGCGGCATAAAAATCGAGTAATTTATTGATGAGGGACCTTAACAGAGATGTGTATGAGGATTTGGAGACCGCCAGCCGCCAGCCGCTGCCGGTGTTCCTCGAGGTGGAGCGCGCTCGATCCTCACCAAGCCCGAGCTGGCCCTCATCAGGCAGAAGCTTCGGGTCTCAGACGAGATGGACCATATTCTGAAACAGCACTCGCATCATGATTCTCCCAAAAACCGCATAGCAGTTTTAAAGCCGTACAAAAGCAAAAGCAAGCACGCGAGGCACCCCCCAATCAATTTGAGACATGAAGATGGGCTTCTGCTTGAACGGCACCACCACCCGACCCACCTTTCCGATAGTCCATCGAGGGCCCAATCAGAGAAGGGGGACGAGGAAAAGGATCTCCCCACAAGGATTGTTGCCCTGAAGCCGAACCTCGGGAAGGTGCAAAAGATATCCAGTCTGCCGCTCGATCTTGTGAATAGGTCCCAAAGAAGGAAAGACTCATCAAGTGGCGTGGGACCATCCAGGCCGGTATCTAAGGAGGCTCGGGAAATATGCAGATGAGGGACAGGTATGATGAGACTAATGACTGGATTTGGGGTAGAGGGTATGCATGGGACGAGAGCTCGTATGAGGCCTATGAAAGTGATTCCGAGAGTGAGTCTGAGGCAAATATTGAGATTCAAATGGAGGCAAATATTAAGCACATATAAGAACAGCAGATCGCTTTTGAAATGTCTGCGAAGGCAGACGCATGTAGGAGTCCTATGGTTGATGTGGTTATGATTTCTGAACCTGTGAGCACAACTGTTTCTCCGGAACCTTCTACTTTAGTCCAGAAGCAGCCGTCTTCGGTTATGGAGGGTGATGAATCCGCCTTTCAAGAACAAGGGAATTGTGGGGCCCAGGAACTGGACCAGGTACCAACCAAACCTTCCTCTCTATCCTCACCTTGCACTGGAGCTGAGCTGGCATCTTCCGAATGCTCCAAAGAGGCCGATCATCCAAGCCCAACTTCAGTCCTTGAAGCTCCTTTTATAGAGGATGCATCATCTGCCGAAAGCTTTGAAAGAGTCGGTGCTGAACTTCAGGAACTTCGATTGCAACTGCAGCTCCTCAAGATGCTGACATGTCCACACATTTAGCGATCGAGGAAGAAGACGCTCAACCGTCCCCCATTGTTCCGGAAGAAAATCACACAAAAGGTCCCGAAGGCTGGGAAGCTCACTATGCACTCGACGTGCTAATCACCTCTGGGCTTCCTCAAGAGCTCGAGTTTAGCATGTTCAGAACATCATGGTACTCCCCAGACTGCTCTCTGGACCCGAAATTATTCGACACACTCGAGAAGAAATACGGTGATGATGATGAGACGAAATGGGAAAGGAAGTTGCTTTTCGACAGGATAAATTTTGCACTACAGAAAATTTTTGTGGAGCACGTGGACCCATGCCCATGGGTCATGCCGAAATCGACGGGTTGGAATCTCGTGAAGTGGCGGACCCGCGGGATTATTGTGGACTCTGTTGATGATAAATTGATCGACCAGTTGGAGCTGCCGCAAGTCGAGATGATGTCGGAAAAGGCTGTGGGTCAGGAGATGGGGTGGGCGGGCCCCAGGGGAGAAGTCAAGATGGTTGGTAATGAAATCGAGACGCTGTTGATGGATGACATGGTGACTGAGGTTATTCTGTGTATGTAGCTAAATGAATTGATCTTTTTTTTTTTTTTTT